AGATAAAGAGAGAGAGAGAGAGAGAGAGAGAGAGGGGAGTCTTTGAGAAGGGAAAATGGAGATTAGAGAGGGTAGGGGTAGACTCTAATATTTAATAGATAATACAATGAAATGTAATGACATTTTCTCAAACCATCACATTTTAAAAATAGTTACATTACGGCGAGAACTCCATCGGTGATTCGTTCCTGAGGATACCTGCAGGTTGCCCAGTGATGTTTTACTATTTGATGAGGATCAACCATTTCGCGCACTGAGGAGTCAAAAGGCTTTAGGTATCATGATGAGGTTGAATCAGGCGCTCGTCAATTTTTGGTCCTTTGAAGTTATTGGTATCTTCTTAAAGGTTGTTAATTTATATTGCTGTCGATGAACTAAATATACAGTTATCTTAAATACAACTGGAGTAATTGCCATTGGATGAAGTAGAGGTTGCATGTTTTCAGAAGTTAATTAGTATAAATGGCAACCAAAGTTGAGTTATTATCTTAGCTCGAGAGTCCGTAGATACAGAAAAGGTAAATTTTTTGGTGGCTTTAATTCAGCCCAAATTCCCGCCCAACAGCAAGCTCTATGCCCTTAACAATCCAACATATTACTCCAGCAGACATGATTGCATTTTAAAAAACCCCATGGGAAGCATACAGTGGGAACTGCCATTTTTAGGCGGTAAAACACTAATATACTGACAAGACCTTCAGCTTCATATTGGTGAAGTGAGGAAAATTCGTGTAAAGAGCTTTTTCAAAAGACACGACTTCGGGCTTGAGGCGTAAACCCTCGAACCCGCAACCTCACGATTTCGAGTCCGGTAGCCTAACCACTGTGCGACCGACACCACACGTCTGTTTCCATTATATTTACTTTTAAATAACTGTAAAGCATCCACCTAGTAAAGAGAACTTACATTTTTTATAAAAAATCTTCGCATCTCGAGTCTTGCAGGCGCTAGGAAGACAGACGCCCAGTCTTGTATAGACCATCATCCCGCTTTTGGACTTTATCTGGGGACAGAACGAAACAAAAGTAATGTGTCACGACATGGTGGAATCAGGCGCTGGCCATTTTTTCTTTACCATATGGAATTATTGGTATAATCTTAAAGCGTGTTCTTTTGTCTTGATTTAGATGGAAAAAAAATACCCGTTTGTCTTCAATAGAAGTCGAGATGCTTTGGATTGACAGAGGTGGGGGTCACCTGGTTTCAGATGTAAAATTAGCGAGAAAATGGCCGCCAAAGTTTGATTACTTTTAAACCTCGGGAGTTCTTTGACACAGTAAATCTTCATATTCTGTGCCTTGAATAAACGTCTTTCGGTAAAATCCACACAGCAATGTATATTTAATGGACAAAAGGTGTTGAGCCAAAGAAAATAAAAAGATGAAAATTGCCCCACGGGAAAAAAAATCCTGCTTTCTTCGGAATCCTTATTTTGACAAGCGCCTGATTCCACTATGATGCTTCGGCCCAAATTATATTAGTTTCATTATTAGACACATAACTTTAAAAGAATATTCACCCCGATCAATACAAATCAGATATTAATAGGTGGGTTGTTTCAATCCTACCCTTTAAGATCAAGTGGGATACTGCAGTCCCAGCAGAAGTCGCAAATACAGTACCGAGAAAAAAATAAATAAAAACAACCCTCTTCCTTCGGTAATCAAGTTAACGGTTTCTGCCAGCGATAGAAATCTGGTAGCTCGAACATGTATGGACCCAATTAGACAGAGCAAATTTATTTTACGGACAGTCCAAGTTGTTAGTCCAGTCTTCTTTTCGTTCCTTGCTAGATCACAAGGGTAATCGACTGCTTGCTCTTCCACCTGCGTGCAAATGATTTTTACGTATGTAACCGTTTTTTCGGCTTTATAGTGCACCCTGCCTTCAAGTATAAGGCAGTTACATTTCCAGGGGTGAAAAAGAGGAGAGGAATGCAGACGACAGAACAGGGCTAGTGAACAGAAAAGGGCGAACATTTTTTGAGAAAAATGTATTTTTTGTTGCTGGCATGTATCAGCCCAAGAAACCTTTGGCTGCAAGGTGAGCATTATACCTCTAAGTCTAAGACCAAGGGAGCTCACATCTCCTCGAGAATCGAGCCCATGATCACAGCTCACATTTTTAGTGGCAAAACTTGTTACAAGAAATACATTTTACAGTAAGCACTTTTTGCACTAAAGGTTCTCAAAGCATGCGTTCTATAAGCATTGTGTCGCAATTAGAAAAAACAAAAAA